GTTCGATCTAAGAGTCATTCATCTTCTAACCAGCTCTTGGTTGGAATCAATCCGTTAAGTTAGCTTTCTCTGAGCGTTTTGCAAGTATTCTAGAAGGACCTCTAGCTTTGCAAATTCCAGCATTGTAGGCGCTTATCATTTGGTATCAGAGCATTTGGTCGACGTTCTTTGGCCGCTCTAGAGGTGAAATATTTTTATTGTTATTTTATTTGTATCAATTTTTTTTTTCTCTCTCAGATTATTGAAAAAAAGAAAAAAAGAAAAAAAAATTAGTTCTGAGAGAAAAAAAAATATATAGTTAGTTTTTATCATTTATTTTCAAGCTCTTGATCCTTTAGATACTAGTCTTAGCTTGTTAGAATTGATTGTTGAATTGGTTATAATCAAGTTTAAAGCAAGACTGCACCAAAAAAAAAAAAAAAAAGCCAGCCTTTACATTCTTGACCTAGTACCAAAAGCCTACCTTTGGGTGTTAAACACGAGTGTCCTAAGTGAAATTTTTGTGAGAAGTGTGGAGAGGTCCCTTGATAACAAAATGTCACATAATGGAGAAGTAGTACCACCAGTACCAGATCTTAATACAGCCATTCTTCAAGCAATTCAAGGTATGATGGAAATGATGATGGGAGATAGACAAGAAAGAAGGGCGCAACAACAAAGACAAGAACGAACATTACAAGAAGATGAAGGTATAGTAGTACAAGAAAGACAAGTTGATGGTAGATGGAGAGGAAGAAATAACCATGCAACTATTATGCAACCTAGAAGGATAGAAAGAGTACATGAAGATAGAGATGGGGGAGTTAAACTCAAAATCCCGCCCTTTTGTGGAACGGCAGATTCTGAGGCATACTTGCAATGGGAAAGAAAGATAGAGCATGTGTTTGATTGCAACACCTATAGTGAAAATAAGAAGATGAGACTAGCTATTGCTGAATTTACCAATCATGCTGGTGATTGGTACCAACATCTCAAATCCGAGAGAAGAAGAAAAGAGGAGGATCCAATAGAGACATGGGAAGAACTTAAAGAAGCCATGAGAAAAAGGTATGTTCCAAAACATTATGAAAGAAATTTAAAAACTAAATTGCAAGGTTTGAGGCAAGGAACAAAAAGTATGTAGGAATATTATCAAGAGATGGAGACTATGATGGAAAGAGCAAATGTTAGAGAAGAAGAAGAAGATACCATGTCTAGATTCCTTGGAGGTTTGAATCGAGAAATTGCTCATCTTGTTGACAGAAATCCACC